GAAAGGCCAGCTCTCCGCTTTCCTCGTGGGAGCTGCCACCCCAGCTGAGGAAGGGGTCTGCGCCCTGGGGAGGGGACTGTGTGATGAAGGGAGGCAGGAGGAGTTATGCAGAACAGCGAAAAGGAGGCAAACCTGTGATATGTGTGTGTGGCACATAATCAGTGCTCAGTAAAAGCAACTATTATCTATCATCATTGCAATCCACAGGGTAGCTGTTTTGTCCTTAATTTGGGGTCTCCCTTATGCGGAAAGAATGGCCACGCCATGAGCTGGCTAACTACTCAGTGGTGGACGAAGGTTGTTCCATCTAGTGTGACTTTCTCAATTCACATGGCACAAGATGGGGAGGGAGGCAAGGCCTCCAGCAGCTTTCCCAGGACTGACTTAAGCAGGAGGACAAAGCCCCAGGTGCCTCTTCATGTCAGAAATTGCACACTGCCTATAGGAAGCCTCCTCCGATTGCCTTAGCTGGACGAGGGCTACCCCCTCTTGGGACTCCCACTGACACAGACAGCTTTGTGCTGGAGATCCATGGGCGCCCCTGACACTCTTGAGCTGGGTCCACGGCTGCCATCGCCGGTTCGTGCTCATGGCAGTCACGTGACTGGCCAATGAGGAGGGGACGGCATGCAGCCAATACTCACACACGTTTGCTGCTGTCAGGGATGATGCAGGCGTCTCTCACCAGCTGTGAGGCTCAGCCGTTTTCTTTATGAAATCCTTTAATTTTCTCTTTCAGGATGCTCAGGGAGCCTCGCCCTCTCTTCTCTGGGACAAATTTTGCCAGATTTATTTTCTCTTTAATTATGATCTTCGTGTCACATCAGAGCTTGAGGGAAGAGTGGATTGTTTATTGAAGGCAATTGTTTTGGGGGTCCTCATGGGTCCGGGGAGATTGGGAACACCAGGTGACTGTCGCCTGGCCCTGCTAGCCTAGGTGGAGACTTTCCCAGCTCCGTGGACACTCTCCCAGGTCACACTGGCAACGCTTCCACCAGCTTGGGGGCACCCACCTGGGGCAGGGGCCGAGAGTGAGTGTCTTCACCTTGTCCACAGCCCCCTTCCGGCCTGGTTGACGGTTGCTATGGCGACACCCAAGGATGCTCCCCCCCGTGGCTCCCAGCAGTAAGAGCCTCTTGAAAGCCGGCACACCCATGGCCTTGACTGTCTCTCTCTCATTAGTAATTGAAATATTGAGAGCCAGATCCCCGTGTGAGCCCCAGGCGGCAGTTTGCCACATCAGCCGGCTCTCTGTAGGGGCCAGGGCGCCTCTCCTTGGGGCCGGAGCCTTGAGGCTAATTAGAGGTTCACATGCCACAGATCTGATCCCCAGGTCCCTGCAGAGGGGAACCTCTTGCCAACACACAAGTCATTCAGTTGCAAACTGTATTCTTCTGAGGCTGCACTTGGCATCACTGCGGTGCCGGCGCCTTTCCTGATTAGAAGGGTTTGTCTGGAAGATACTCTGTTTTGTTTTCTTTCTCTCTCTCTCTTTTTTCTAGAAATGGCAATCAGCAACAAAGTGATCATAAAAAATAGGTCAGCGTTCAGATTAATTAGGAGCCAGATTTACGAGAACGTGGCTAAGAAGGGGCCTGGTCTCCTGCACCAGCTCCGCTGTGCTAATCCAGCCCATGTTCTTTTTAAGCACAAATATCAAAATGTCTCTTGACAAATGAGACGTGAAATGAATGAGTTTTTGCACATAAACTTTTAGTGCAAATGTGTATTTGGCTGTGTGGGGCACCTAGGGGCACAGGAAGGGTTTTCTGGCCTGGCTGGGCACTAGCTAAAGGGTAGAGATTCAAGTGGGTACCCCCTGGCCCCCTGTCCCTTTCCTGGCATTACCAAAGTAGCTTGCTGCCCTATCAACCCTGATGGGAGCCCACCTGACTGTGTTTTCTGGAGGGAAATGCGCACTACAAGCCATTCCATGGGAGGGCAGAGGAGCCCCCAGCCTGGGCTGCTGCCCTGATCTATGTTGGCATTAAAATGCTGCCTTGTGGCTGGCAAGTGCCCAAGGCCCCACCTGCTGGGAGGTCCTGGGCACTAAGCCATCAGAACTGAACTGACATGAGGACCTCTAGATCTTCCAGAAAGGGCACTGTTTGTGCCACCCTCCACAGAGGGGCCCCTGTTGTGGGGATGAGTTACCCTGGAGCCCCTTGTGGCCAGCCCAGAGACTGGATATCTGACCAGCCATGCCAGGCACAGTCAGATCAGCCTTGGTTGGGCTCAGGGTGTCAAGGTTCTAGCCAGGAGGAGAGGGAGATTCGAGCAGGAATGAGCTTGTGGCCTTGGTCTCATTAATACCTTTTGTGAACACTACCAAGTTCATTCTCAAAGATCTCTTTCATATGATGCTTCCTCGATCAAAGCCTTTTATGGTTCCCGTTGGATCCACTTGGCATTCAAGGCCCTCAGCAGCTTGGCCTCCAAATGCCAACCACTCATCTTTATCTCCCCGATCCCCCCTTCTCTGGCCAGAGCAGGTAATGGTCATGGTGATGATAATGAACATTTACATAGAAATTTCCACACTGAGCTCCCTCTGAGGTCAGGGATTCCCATTTTTACAGATGAGGACATACTTTCAGAGATGTTAGGCCACTTGCTTAAGTCATTATAGCCAATAAGTACTGGAAGCACAACTCACATCCGGCCCTGCCTTCTGAATCCTCTGCTTGGCCACTCTACTCATGGTCTATGGAACATCCCAGAGGAATGTTCCAGCCTGAGACACTTGCTGGGGCCCAAGGGCATGGAGCAGGGTTTTTTTTCCACCAATCCAATTAAGCCAATCGCTCTACAAGTCAATGAACACTTTTCCAGTACACCTGTGAGCTAGACAGAGATGGCTAACTCTCCCCAAGATTTATGCTCCCCTTGTGCTGAGAAGAGATGAGACATGAGGTCGGAAAGCAGCTGCCTAGCCGAGGGCTACGTTTTCCAGCCTGCCTCGCATCTTTGTTGCACCATGTGACTGAGTTCTGCCCAAAAGGTGAGGGTAGAAGTAATCTTTACTACCTGTAGGCCTGGGTCTTAAACTCTTGCCTTGCCCTTGTCTACACCAGCTTTCCTCTGAGAGAATTCACCCCTACGAAAATGATTTCAGTGGCCATTCTCCGTCTCCCAAGAAGGATGCAAACTTAGAACCATTCCAGATGTACAAGAGAGAAGTCAATTCATGATATACAATGTATGCCTTAGAGCACTAGGCTTGCTTTTCTCAGGGAACTGGATTGAGAAGGGCTGCTTCCGCTCACTCTGGTCTGCTGGCTGTATGTTAATGCCCGGAGTGACCACGGAAGCCACTTGTTGAAGATGGGAGAGCATATGGCAGCCTGGGTCCCTGAATGAGTTCGCGGCACAGAACTCCCCCTCCCCCGCCCCACCCCTCCCCCACTCCGGAGCAGCATGAGATGTGAACCAGAAATAATACATCTGAACTGTGTTAACCACTGGCATTTCCGACTTTATTTGTCACAGCAACTAGCATCACCTGACACTCATACAGGGGATAGAAAATTCCAAGTCAGGTGGGGAAGGCCTGGGCTGTTTGGGGAGAGGCCCTCCACAGGTCTCAGCTCGCCCACCTTCTCCCACAGCCTGGGGGAAAGTCTTTTGGGGGGCTGTGTGGAGCCTAAGATCCAGCCAGACCCAGAAGCCTGAGTGGCACAGAGAGGCCCCCAAAGGGCGGTGGAGCTGAACGAGAAACAACTGAACCGACACAAAGACAGACGGGTAGGGTCTCAACTGTCGGAAGGCTTCAGAACCAGCCAGGGAGACAGGCTGGGATGCCTGTCACCTCCGATTCAGCAGGAGAGCCCAGGAGCCTGCATCCTTAACAAGCTCTATGCTGGTGGTGAGTGGCCTTCACTTTGAGAAGCACTAGCCTAGGGCATGGCAGCCTGCTCCATCCTACAGGGACATTTATATGCCACTGTCAAGGAACCCAGCCATCTGGTGCTGCAAAGCCAGGAGAGACGCTCTCTCTGGGACTGTGCACCAAACAAGTCTGGGGGTGGGGTTCAGAGAGGGAGTCACTGGCTTAAAATCAGACACAGCGAGAGATGGCTGGAGTTGGGCCCATCTCTGAACCCCACCTTTGAGTGGGCAGAGGGGGTGGGGTATGCCTTGGGGAGGGACACTCCCTGCAGTAGGCCTTTCTACCCTCCATAAACCCCCACTACTGCCAAGCAGCCCCTCCAGCCCCAGAGCTGCCTGCCCTGGCAGTCAGTCTGTTTTCCTTTCTGCTCTCTGACTCCCCTCTCCCGGCCCCCCTTCCATCTCCCCCAGCCCTTTCGGCTCCCTAGGAAAGCAGGTCTTAACCTCTGGGGGCCCTCCTAGCAATGACAATCCTCACTCTATCCTCACTCTCCCATTCCTCAAGAGGGCCCAAAGGGGACTATTTATAGCAGAGCCTGTGCCTAGGCCCAATCGGGATTTAGCCAAAGAGAGCAGAGGCTACACAGCCAGGCCTACCTACCCACGCAGCCTTGGACAAAGTCTGTCTGTTTGATCAGTCAGTCAATCAGCATCCAGACGCTCACTGCCTGAGTTGTAACCACCTCCTCCCACTCCTGGGGCTAATGTCCTACGGCCTGGAGGAGAAAAGAGTCCAGTTCTCCAAACTCAAGAGAGGGCTCCCCACACTGCAGCCGCCGGTGTACCGGGAGATCGGGCAGGGCGGCCCCCACCCCCTTCATAAATACACGTCTTGAATGCTTCTGAGCGACCAGCAATAAACAGTAAACAGTAGGAAGCGCCCGAGTCCAAATGAGGCTGCGGAAGACTTGGCCCAAGCGCACCAGACTGAACTACCAACCACCAGGCAAACGCAAAAGCCAGAGCGGGGCCGCCCCTCTGACCGGACCACCCCCCCGCCCCCGCCCCGGCCCGGCCCCGCCCCGCCCCGGCCTCGGCCTCGTCCGCAGCCCGTCCGCAGCCGGGTCCGCAGCCCCCGCGCAAGCGCGCCCCCTCTCGGCACCCGCCCTTACCTGAGCCGTGCCTCTGGCGAAGAAGGACCGCCTGGCCCAGTGGCGGCGACGCTGACGAAGCAGCGGCCGCGGCCGCGACGGTGGTGGTGGCTGCGTGGGCCGCGGAGGCGGCTGCCGCCTCGGGGACTCCGGGACCTGGGGCGGCGGGGGGGCTCCCCGGAGCCGGGCTTTTGTCGGAGGTGGCGCGGCTCGCGGCGCCCGTGGCACCCACGTTGTTGGCGTTGGCGGCGCTGGCCGGGCCGTGGCGACGCGGACCGCTGCTCTGAATGTGGGACACGGCCTCGGCGGCCTGCATGTTGGGCGGCGCAAAGCCCGAGAGCACGCGCAGCAGCGCCTGGGCCTTGTGCTCCTGCGTGTCGTCGGCGCTGTAGTCGGACACGCGGCATTCGTACACGCCCTCATCCTGCCGCCGCACGGCCGACAGCCGCAGTCGGTGCGAGATGTCATTGCCCTGGACGCGCACGGTCTGCAAGAGAGCGGGGGCCGGGGTCAGAGGCCCGGGGGCGCGGGCCTGCGCTCTCTGCCCGCGCGGTGCAGCCGCGCCCACCTCTGCCTTTGCGCCCTCATGCCGCAGCACCCCAACACCTCTCGGACGCAGGTTGGCCCCTGGCGACTCAGTTTTTCTTTCATTCCGTGTCTCCCCAGCGGCATGGGGCTCCCAACCCTGATTGGACCCTGGATGGCCCTACCCACTGCGTCCCCATCATCTCAAGTGAATGCATCATGTTGCATCCCCTGGCCAAGCTATGCTTCTGTCCATCAGACCTGCAGAACCTAACCCTCCTTCCTTCCTTCTGCACCTTGCAGAAATCCAGGCTCGGCCTCCTGTCGCTAACCACCGGCGTCTTTGCCGCCTGGCCTTAAGCCCAGCCCTCCACATCTACTCCCACCAACGTTCCTTTACTCTGGAATCCGGAGGGCCTGGGTAGTGCCTGAAGGACAGCCACTCTGCTCGCAAGAGTACACATAAATACCTGCCCCCCAGCCCTTCGCAGCTAACCCTCCGCCCTCCCGCGGGGGCAGGCCATGCTGACGCTGCTGCTGGGCTCCCTGGGCTCAGCTACTTCTGAGTCCGCCTCAGCCTGAAGCTCCCTACAAGCGCGCCTCCCCGGCGGCCTGGAGGACACGCTGGCACGCCACCGCTTTGGGGCCCTCACCTCGGAACCGCGCGCACGATGAGGCCCCAGTGGTCTCCAGGCCGATATTTCCACGCTCCAGCTAGGAGAACTTGGGCGCATCTCCTCTTTGAGTTACAGATCCCAAGACCCCGGTCCCTCGCAGCCCCGCCAACCCCCACCCCACACCTTCCCCCACGACGAGCCCACAGAACCCGGCACCGGACCCGAAATCAAGGCGGAGGAGAGGGCTGCGGTGGAGGGCGCCACCTGGGCGCTCCGGTGTGTGTGTGTCGCGTGGGGTGGGTGGGCGGGGAGGCCCACCAGTTGGCGAACGGGTCACGGCCAGCGTGAGGAGCAGCGCGCTCCAGTTGCTGGGAGACAAGCCCGCAGAGGAGACGCAAGCCGATGCGCAGGGGCCTGAACGCGCCGGCCCGACGAAGGAGTTTTACAGGTGAGCGCCGCACGGAAGAAGGAGATTCAGGCCTGGGACCCTTGGTTTACACAAAAGCGAACCCGATTCCGCTAGCGGCGACAGATGGCGCCCCGACATGCTAAGCAGCCGACAACGCAAGGCTGCGAGCACGGCCCTACATCGCGCGGCCGCTGAGCCTTTCTAAAAAGGAGGAAAATGTGGGGCGCGAAGCGGCCAGAAGGGGTCTCCCGCGGCCCACGCTGGGCTCCACACTTACGCTGATTTTAGTTGCATCCTTATTTGTTACCTAAAATGCAAAGAGGGAGAGAGACACATTAGGCTCTCGGCCTTCAGGCTCCGGGAACTCCGATGCGCCTCCGGCAAGGGGACTCTGCGGGCGGGCTAGGACTCGAAACCTCTCGGGATGTGGGCCAGCTGAAGTCGCAAAGGACATTAGGATTTCCTGGAGTTTTACCCGGAAGGAAGCAGGGCTTGGAGCTAGCATGGTGCCTGGCCAAGGAGGGGCTGCCCTAGCACACTGCCGGCCACGAGGAAAGGCTGGACTGCCACCAGGGTGGGAAGAAAGGCTGGTCTCCCTTCCCCGGAGCATCCTCATTCCCTGCCGTGTTTCTCTAAACCCCGTGGAAAGCTGGATGGAGGGGCCGGTGTATCTGGACAGGACGCACAGGGAGACGTGAGCAATAACTCTGGGTGGGACCCTGGGTAGAGGGTAGGTGTGTATGTGTGTGTGTTACAGTGTATGGGAGAGACTGGTTTAGGAGGCAGACAGACAGTGGGGGCCTTCCCTCCGATCTTGTGGGGGTTGGAGGTGCACTGCGGGCCTCTGGAACCCAGCCCAGAGGAGCTTAACTCCTTGGCCCTGTGCCCTGGGGACCTCGGAGTAGCAGAAGGCAGGGAAAGCCTGGCCCTACTAAGTGGTCTCCCTTGACCACCCAGCACCCATCTGACTCTGGGGCCGGCAGCCAGCAAGCAAAAGCAGACGAACTGGATGAGGTGTTGCTTTGTAGGGGCCAGGCGGCAGTCCCGGAGGTTTTAAGGGAAAGAAGAAGGGGAGGGATTACCAGGATTTGTGCTGCTGTTGAAGATGCTGTGGGAATGGGGACTGTGGGAGATGGGCTGCTCCGCAGGGCGGTGCCCTGCCTTCCTTGCCCAGCTTACCCCAGCCGCCCCGGCCTGAGCCCGGTGAGCGCCGGCGCCGCGTGGGCGGCGGGTTACCTTGCTCCGGGCGCCGGGCACGCTGAGCGCCAGCTCGTGCAGCAGCTCCCGGGGCGGCTCCTTGAGGTACCACCACTGAATCTCCAGCGAATACGAGGTGGCTCCGCTAGCCCGGAATGCGCAGGGCATTTCGATGTCGTCTCCCTCCCGTACTGTCACATCTTTGGGGACTTCGGTAAATGTAGCTGGGGGCGGGGAAGAGAGAGGCGTGACCAACTGTGGGGCGGGGGCCTGGGGCAACCCTAGGCAAGACGGGGCGTCCCCGGCTCAATGGCCTTGTACTTGCCAGCCCAGAGCCACAAGCGTGGCTCAGGCGCTAGCAAAGTTCGATCGAACAGCTGCCCGGCCCCAGCAGAGACCGGCTACCGCTGCAGGCTGCTTCCCTCCGGATCGGGCGGGGCAGCAGGGGCGGCTTAGGCTTCTACCCCGCGCCCAGCCGCACTGCCAGAGCCAGGCTGGGGCGCGCCAACTCCCGCGCCCCGAAAGCCGCCTCTCCGCCCGAGCACCTGTCCGGCTTCAAATGCCGCGGCGGCGACCCTTCGCTTCTCTCCTCCCCCTACCCCTCTGGGCCTGGGCTGCACACCGGGATTGCTGGAGACCGTGAAGCCTTCCCCTTCTCTTCCTCCTCCGGCTCCTTGGCGACAGGGACAGGCTGGTTTTGGCGGCCCCGGCAAGGACCCCCCGAGCCCCCCGCGGCAGCAAAGTTCCCGCGCTCACCGTCGGCCACGAAGAGCAGCAGGGCATGCAGCAGCAGCGGCGGCAGGTATCCGAGGGCGCCGAGCCGGTTCCGCTGTTCCATCTCCCGCGGGGGGCGCGGCGGCGGCAGGGGCCCGGGCGCGGAGAGGCAGCGGTGGCGGCAGCGTGGGCTCGGATCCGGCTCGGGCTCCGGCTAGGACGCCTCCGAGCCTGCCATGGCCCCGCGCGGCGCCCCCTCCCCCGGCCGCCGGCGGCCGCCAATCAGCCCCGCTCCCTCGCCGGCTTGCCCGGCGCGGCTCCGGCGGGGGGCGCTGCGCGGGGGGCGCAGGATGCGAGGTCCCGCCGGGAGGCTACTGCTGATCTGTCCGTGCTTCCCTCTCTCGGGCCGTCCACAAGATGATGGGGTATCTCAATTCAGTCTCTGCCCGGCCCGGCCGAGCAGAGGCTGGGCCGCCCCGGGACCCATCCCTGGCCAAGGGAGTGCACCCCTCAGAGCCGCGAGCTTCTGCCTCCCAGTCTCCTTCTGGTTTGGCTCCCGAATGCCACCTCCTCCGGCTCCCGCCGAGCTCTCCCGCCGCCGCCCCCGCTGGTCCCTCCGCGGCTCTTTACGCAAGGCGAGTGGGCGCTCAGCCGCGGCGCGCAGCCCTGGCGTCCGACCCAGTGCAGCGCGGGGAGAGCGCGTCCGGCGTGGCGGACCCAGAGCCGGAGCGAGGCGGGGAGAGGGGGAGGGGAAGGGGAGAGGGAGGGGGCGGTCAGTGGCTGGGCGCGGAGCCGCCTCCACCGCTGCATCACCCCCGCCCTCCCCTCCCCTTCCACAGCCGGCACCGCCCCCGCCCCGGAGCGCCCCCCCCCCCCCCGCGGCGGTCGCTTGGAGGGACCACAGTCTCTGTGGTTGGAGCGCAGCCCCGCCCGCACCCGCCTTGGCTGGGGGTCCTCCCACCCAAACTCTCCCTGGCTTCTTCCCAATCTTCCTCGCCCGAGACGGCCGCTTATCCCTGCACCCCTCTCCGCAGACCCCCGCCCTCAACTCCTTACCCCAGTTTGGGCAAAGAGCTGCACCGCTCTTTGTCCCAGGCCCAGGCCATGGCTGGTGGGTGGGCGCCGGGGGCCGGGGAGAAGGGCGGAGCGCTGTGCTGGGCTGGGGACGAGGCCGGGTGACGGAGGCGACGCCGGGAGTCTGCAGTGTGCGAGCTAGAAGTGAGCGCAGAGCGCCCGGCGAGCAGGTGCCTGTGGCGCCGAGAGTGCACGAGCGAGCCAGCAAGCAGCGGCCGTGAGTGACGGCAGAGGCGGCAGGGGTGGGGTGGGTGGGGAGCGCCCAGCACGACTCAGGGCTCGGGAGGTTTCCGAGCGGGGGTGGGGTTCCTGCACCTCAGTCGTTGGCCCCTGCGTCCCCACTCGTTCCTCGCCGGCCGCGGCCCTCTCTTTACCGGGTGCAAGGCGGGGGGATCCCCAGGCGGCGAGAGGTCGGGTCCACGGCCGCTTTCCGGAGCCCATCCCCCGCCCCTGCATCCCCCGAATCCCTGCATCTCTCCCAGCCTTCACCAGGAGCTTGCCCTTCCCCAGCTCTCTTCGGGAGTGCAGTCTGGCCCCCAAAGGGGAACGTGGGGCCAGCTTGTGTTCCAGTGGGCACACAGCTGTAGGGGCAAGTCCCGCAGCTGGGCTTGGGTCTCTCTTGCTTCCCTTCCCACGGGAGACCGGAATAGCGGATTTCAGTTTATCGGTCCCCATTTTCCTGGCCCTAACCTCTCAGCTCAGTCCTACAGGAGGGGGTGAGAGGACCGCCCCCCCCCCCCCCCGCGGGTTGACGATTGACGTGTCTGTTTTCTAGGCTTAGCTTGCCAGCTTCCTGGAGGCACCCCCAGAGTGTTCAGGGAGAGCCAGGGAGAAGGAAACCCAGAGGGCAGATACTTCCCAGCAGCAGACCCAGGGCACACCCTCACTGGGAAAGTAGCTTCAGTCCCTTCCTAAGCTTTGTTCTTACCAATAGGATGCCCCTGGACAGTGTGCCCTTTGCCCTTCCTGGGCCTGGCTTCCAGGATCTTCATCTGTGACCAAGGGGTCATTCCGACCCCCGCAGGCCACTGCTGCTCAGCCAGGGAGCCCTTGTTTGCCAAGGTCTGTGGCTGGGAAGGGACGAACGTCTAGGGCCTTCCTCTTCTTTCTATAGTTTCTCTCCAGGGACCCCAACCCAAGGACGCAGTTGCTAGCTGTCTTCTGTCATTTCATCCCCCAAGGGCCAGGAGCCTTCCTGTGGAAACTGCCCTGGGCTGCTGAATGGCAGACCCTGCAGGCCCCACTGCTGTCCTCTGCTTCTGAAGGGAGGGGGCAGACTTGCACTGTGCTACGGAGATTCAGAACCTTGACAGGATTCTAGGAAAGCAGATTCATTTGGGGACTGATTCCAGGCAGGGCTCTGATGGCAAGAGCTAGCCCACTGTGCAGTGTCCGGCTTGGAGAGGCAGCAATCTCCTGTCCAGACACCAGATCCAAGCAGAGATGAATGGCCAGTGATCAGGGACACACAAGGGGAGAATTCCCACAGCTAGAGGGAGTTACACCTTGGTCACCCGTAAGATCTGTGAGTCTTCTAAACCTGAACCACCTTGTGGGGTAAGGTGTATCTTGCCCACTTCGTGAGTTGGTGTTATTATTAACGAGAATGACGGCTATATTCTTTCATATGCTTTTCGTGGGTCAGGCACTGGGTATACACTTTCCGTGCATTAGTTCGCACAATGACAATCAAGCCACCCTTCTCAAACAGAAATCAGATCACTCTTTCTCTGCTCAGAACCCTGCAGTGGCTTCTTTTCCACTCAGGATAAACACCAGAGGCCTAGTAATGTCTGACAAGGTCAAACTATCTGCCTTTGTCTTCCACTCCATCGCTCTGTCATCTTGTGTTTTCTGTCCTTTCCCTGATCACTCTTTGTAGCCATGCTGGTTTCCTTCCTACAGTGCAACACACTGTGGTCCCACCCCAGGGCCTTTGCACCAGCTATATCATTTGATACAGGGGAATCATTTCATACAGAAGGATGCTCCCTCCCCATACCTGGTTCATAAACTCTGTCATGTTCTTCTGGCTTTAGTTAAGAAGTCGCCCTCTCAACGAGGATCCTGGGACCACCGTTTTTATAGTGCAGTCTGCACGCTCTCTTCCCCAGCACAGCCCTCACCCTGCTCTCCGTTTTTTCTCCTTCCCTTGGTACTAACCGCCTTCCAACATACGGTACAATATCCTTATTTATCGTTTCTTGTTTGTGGCCTGTAGTCTCTACTAGGATGGGGCTCTTTCACTGCTTTGTTCACTAATATAACTCTGACACCTAGACAGGGTCTGGCGTAGAGTAAACTCAATAAATATTTGTGGAGTGAATAGATGAGCTCATGTAACCCTTATAACAACCCTATGGGGTAGACACTGTGATTTCACTGCATTTTAGAGATGTTGTGGCCGAAGCTGAGAGAGTTTAAGGAACTAGCTCCAGGTCACACAGTTAATAAGTGACAGAGTAAAGCTTTAGCCCAGGTGTGTCTTAGTCTGGGGTCCTAATTCTTAACCGAAACACTCAAATTTTCCCTACTCCAGGTGACACTCTGGTCTCTGTACCTGCAGTTGGTATGGAGAGCAGGGCCCCTCTGCCCTTGGTTGATGGCAGCCTGAACCTGCCAAGCTTATTCCCTGCTTGTTGAAAGGTGCACAGGAGTTCTGTGTCTAGAGGGTCTGTTTGCTCTTCTGTCCCCTCTCGCAGACTGTGAGGGCAGCAGCTGTCCTTCACTCTCTGTGCCTCTAACTCCCAGCTAGGCCAGCCCTTGCTTAGGCTCAGTAAAAGTTGCAACTAGGAGAGCTTTAGTTGTGGCAGGAAGGGGCACTTTACCTCTTCCCCCCCTTTCTGCAGGGGAGCTGGTTCCTTCTCGCTGTGTCAAGATGTGGGACAAAGCCTCAGTTGGAGGCTCTAAAGAAGGCATCTGTGACGGAGCATGTGTGTGGTTTCTCTGGTTCCTTTCTCAAAAGGAAACCTCTCTCTGGGGACACAGTCACTCACCCCACTCACCCCTAGCAACTGCCAGTGTCCCTTGGGTTCCCACAAAGATGCCCTGATTAGAGGAAATGTTGGTTGTGTGATGTGAGGCTGGTTTCCCACTGATGGACTTTTGAGAGCATTTCAGAACGGTGGCATCTCTGATCCTGAACGTTCATCAGTAGATAGTAACAGACACCCTTTGGACCACAAGGTTTTTCTTTCCCTCTCTCCATTCACAGGCTCCAAAATGCCTGCAGGATCACAGTGTACAGGGACCTGGAGGTGGGCCGTCCTGTGGTGTGATCACTAGGCCCTCCATGAACCGGACCCACCCATGCTGGGTGCTGGCCATTGGCCACCCTTGCGATGTCATTCCACGCTGCTGTGATCGGGCTGCCCGTTGGGGTGTGCAGCGCTTGTCAATACCATTCTGTGGGTGGATTCACTAGACTTTCAGAGGCACTTCAAAAAGCGTTATTTAAAAAGACTGCCTAGCCTTTCGTAAAGTACCCTTAAATTACAGCCCTAAGTGAATGTGTTTCCTGGAACTCACTTTCAAAATTTATTTATTTTAATGCTCAGGTCCTCTTGGAGTTTAGGTTTCGATATTCTTGTCTCAGCTGACCTTTCCTGTCCTCCCTGTACCGCGTACAGCAACATTGATTTTGGGTAATGTATTTTGATTTTAAGATGCAGCCCATCCATAAACTTTTCTATCAATAATCCCGGCACACTCTGTGTACCTGACAGCTTAAAGGAAAATACCAGATTTATGGGGGCTTTTATTTTTGGCCAATTTAGTCATTCACTGGCCATCACTGTCAGGGGATAAAGGCCTGAAGTCCGGCCCCAGGACTACTCCCCTCCAAGGGCAAACATCAGGTCAGCTTCTCCAGATGGAGGTGGCAGAGGGTGGCCCTCTCTGTGCCCTGGCTGCCTCTAAGCCATGGAGGAAGGCAAGTGGAAAAGCTCAGTCTGGGTTCCTCTTGTCCTCTTCTATCTCCCACCCCTTCCAGGAGGATGACAGTGGGGCTCGGGCCCCTGCATCGTAGGGAGACGAGGAAGGGCCCTCCGCTTGCTCGCACCGTATCTCCTCCGGGCCATCGCGGAGGTGGGCCTGCCCTTGCCCCGCCCCTGCCCGGGTGCACTCTGAGAAGCAGGCCTGGCTTGCAGTCCCAGGTCTGGCCTGTCATTGTTGTGTTGGTGTCACTGCTCTGGGTCCCCTGTGCCTGGGGCTGTTTGCTTGTCAGAGACAGGGTTGATTAGGCTTGTGGATTGCCCGGAGAGACGGAATGAGGGGAGAAACTCCAGGCAGAGCCTGCTTGACCTCAAACATTTATCCAGCCAACATGTCCTGAGAGCCCGGTGTTCATGTATCCGGCACATACGTGTCAGCACGGACTTTATAGTGTGCAGCCTACGGGGGGGTCCATAGCATCCTGCCTGCAGGGAACCTGCACTTCGGCCCAGAAAGGGGCAGAGATACACCTGCAGAGAAGAAACAAAACCTAAGCCCGATCGTCTTAGCTGTGTGTAACATGCGACCCCAGCCCACACACGCGTGCACACATGCACGCACACCGAGTGGTAGCCTCGGTGGACAGAGAAGACCTGAAGTGGT